GTTTTGCTTTGCTTATTTCGCCAACAGATATCGACTCTCCAAAACTAACAATGGCATATTCGCACAAGCCCTACAAAGGATTCGACAAAAACTCCGCAGTGTACAGCGTCAGTAACCTACTGTGTAACCCATTGCGCCCAAAATGAAAAAAAGAAAAACAAATAGAACTGTAAAGGCGAAACATTTGTGTAAAAAACAAACCCATCAATGCACAAAATTTGGAACGCCCTAAAATTGTTCTTCGCTTTTTCCTTTTTTTTTTCTTTCGAAATCGAGGGTATTGGTGCACAATCATTGCGAATGTGGTTTCATTAGAATCATATTTACGATGTCTGTGCTGCAATAACCCGCGCGTAATGTTTCCTTAATTATTTTTTTCCAACAGAATTAGTGTGGAATTATTTTTGCATATTCCGAATTCCGTGCAGTTCTCCCTTGTCGTTGTTGTTGTTTTCTTTTCGCACCTGTGTTTCAGACTTCACGCCCGCGTTCATAAACAGATGCCTATAAAACCGTCTGCTTCATATCACGAGTTATGTGCAACGCTGCCTATGCAGAACGCAAGTTCGTCTGCTTCTTGAGCAGGGGATATGGTGACGTCAAAACGCCAAACTCTGATTGGCTCTGATTGAAGGATAGTGGGTAGGCCTCAAAGCAAGCTGCCTTGAGATCTACCCACTATACTTCAATCAGAACCAATCAGAACTCGGCGTTTGACGTCATCACAACCCCTGCAAAAGAAGCAGACAAACGTGCGATCCGCAAAGGCCAACATTACTACACCAGTTTTCACCTAAAGAAAAAAGCAAGTTTTGAGCATGGCTCATGCGCGGCGCGAAGCAGTTCTTTCGAGAGTTTTTTGTCGCATTTAAAAGCGATGATTTAGTCGTTTGGAACGTATACGTCTTGATAAGATAACATATCTCTAATCTAAACTTCACCTACATGTATGAAAATGGGTATAGATTACTTTAGCTGTGGAACTCTCGCGACGAGGAGTACCGCACTCACTTCAATCCGCCTCCCGTCGTTTTAGGCGCCATCTAAATTTTCGTTTCAAGACTGTGTCAGCAGTCTACCATAATGGCATTCCACCATACATTGGGTATGGTGGAATGTCATTTAGACGATGTGCTTCCAAAACCTACGTATTCCATAGAACACACTACAGTTAGCATAGCAAGCGTCCAGCGCGTCGAACGACGGGAGGCGAGCCATGGTGAGAGAGGGGGTTATTGCTCGTGCAAGCAGCGTCTATGAGCAGTTCCGTAACTGAGCTAATCTCATAACGTTGGCATAGGACGACTCTCTGTTCACAAACAGGGCCGCGTTTGCCCATACCGGGTGTGGGCAAACGCCTGCGCAGAAAACAGATTCCCGCGAGGTGAAGCGTCTGCGCATGCTCCGTACCGACAGCAGCGCCACCGCAGCAGCATGACGCCCGATCGGCGTGTCGGTCTATTAGCCCCGAGAAGTTCGCGTGGCGCCCCCTTACGGCGAACCGGGGTAACGTCACGGCGAGGAGAGAATTTTTCTCCGACTCGGCCCGCTCGCCCTGTGGAGGCTGTGACGACGCTAGCTGTCGGCGCGCTCGTTTCTATTTAATTTTCTTTTTGCGTGTTTTTCGTAGGAAGTTTAAATTTTTTTATGTGCCTTTATTGAGGTATGGCCTGTAGCTACAAGCGAAACTTCAACCAACATTTTAAGCATGGTTAACAAGGCAGGCAACGCATGAATCACAGCTGGTATATGAAAATAAAGAAATATGGCCATAATTGCAGGAGCATCACTATAGATTTACATCTCGCACAATAAATGCTGCTGATGGTTTGAATGAATTGGCAGGTTATGTCTACTATTTGTTTTTTGTATCTCTGTTTTTAAACAAGATCGCCGACGCAGAAAAGCTGCATGCTGCTCGAGCAACATGCTAAATACAATCTGGGCCATGGAGAGAGAATCACAAGTAAGACAGCCCAAGTGCAGGGGCAAAGAAAAAAAAATCGAGGAACATTTATTATATACATTGCTCGCATTTGACCTTTGCTAGATTCGGATAGTATTTCAATAGACTACGCGGGTGGTATCTGTGGATTTGAGTCTTGTTTATATCAACCGTCAAGTAATGTATAACAAACGTAAGCGAAGGTGTCTAGCTCGTTATTTGTTCCTTAAGCCCTAAAATTGAGATTTTACTTAAATCGAATTGTCCTGATGCTAAAATACCAGAAGGTTTTCTCACGCAGACTGTCGCCCTTCACAGGTTCCACATTTTCTGCTGCTAGTGCTGCATCTACCACTGGACAGACGTTCGAATGCTTGCTTTTACTCCTGTTTTCCTCTGTTGTCAGAGAGTCCAGCTCTATGGACTTTGGAGGCTGAGGAGGCGTTTGGGGACCTGCAGCAGTGTGTCTTTTAATTGGAAATGACTATTCAGACTAAACGGTGTATTTTCGGAATATTCAAGGCTGGAATAAAGAATGACAGGACAATGTATAAACATTCTATATTACGGCACTATTGCCGTGCATATTTTGGCAGTTCAACACATATCATACAGGCAACTGGCGGCAATTCTGGTGTTTTTGCTGCCACCATACAAACTAATTTCCAGTAATTGTGCAGATTCTAAGAAATGTACCCGCATACGTGTATAAACTATATCATTAATTCACAAAGAAGCTACATTTATGGGTAACAACCCTGTTCCACGAGCATTCCAAGATTATCAGACGCAGGGCCTTTAAAACATCTGCGAACCAGCGCATGCAGAGTGGCAGCGCAGAGTCGGGTTCGCGAGCTAATTTGCCGACCACCCAAAGGCCCATGATATCAATGCCACTTCAAATGCTTTGAAAGCGGGATGTAATATCGTCTTAAATCATGAACATGCAGGAAACAGAATTCCAGAGTCCGAAACACTTGCGCCACCGCTTCACCGACCCCTCGCAAGATTGCCTTGTGTCGTGTGGACGGACGGGGAGATTCATCGGCGGAATTGCCTCCGTCGATAGCTTTCGGGATTTGTAACGCAATTTTAAAGGTAAAAGGGACAAGCAGGCTTATAAAATGTACGGAAGCACGTCAATATCGGCCTAACTCAATGTCCTGTACACCGGGTAAACGAAGTCCAGCTCCTCGAAGAGCATGCGGCACACAACGCCAAACCAGGAAACCGGTGCTGGGAAGCGAGCCGATGCCAGATCGCGGAGCGGAGTTCTCCCCCTGACGTCACGGTATACCTCATCCAATCCCGGCGCGGCGACCGCAGCGACGCTTGTGTTCGCTCTCGGGGCTAATAGGGCGTATTCACTGGCGGCCATAGCTGTGTGCGCGACTGCTCGGTGCGTGCTGATTGCAAGCTTCCAGAGTTATTTTACGACCTGCATTGCACACCGTCAAGATTGTCGGTCTTAGAAGCCTATTAATGTGAGCTCGTTCTGAGCATGCGCCAGGGTGTAAGATACACTCTTTAGGTGAGGACATGGCATGGCTGAACGCGCGGCGCGACGAATCAGATAGCGTTCGTTCGACGGACATCCGAAAGGCTGCATCATTCCGCGGCCACCGTGCCCGCGGCTTCAAGCCTGGTTCACACGCAGTGAAGCCTGTTTCACATGCAGCGATTTCGGCCATAGAGCGGCGCGATTTCTGCCGTCGCGGCGCTCGTGCCGCTCAACCGCTGGTGCTGGCCAGAGCGCCGTGACGGCAGAAATCGCGCCGCTCTAGGGACAAAACCGCTGCATGTGAACGGCGAAACTGTATGAGAGCGAAAAAAATTATCTCGTTGCCATGACACCGCGGTACACCGTGGTCTTTCTGCGCGTGCACAACCTCCCTGGAGCTCTGCGCCTGTGGAGCATGAGGTGGCACGAGCCGTCTTGTGCGTGCCCACGGGTCGACGAGTCACCTGCCGGCGCCACTCGAAACCATAGTGAGAAAGAGAGAGAGAGAGTTCCAGCATTTAAAGAAGAAAGCTCGCAGTCTTGGCAGCCTTACACTACACTACGTCGTACATAGAGCTGGGCTGTTTTTTGCCGCATAGATATGCACAGTGACCCCGTTTACATTATTGTTCTAGAAAGAATTTCAAACCTTATACGCATAAGGGGCGTCATAGTAATGGCTGGCTAGCAAACCATGCATTCATTTTTGTTCTTGTTATTATTGTTTTATTGATATTGTTTTTGTAATTTGTTGTAGTCGACAATTATAGTTATCCACTTTGGCAAGGACTGTTTCCTCCATATCCCTTCTCCGTATCAATGCCCGGAACAAATACAAAAACATAGTGCTGATGTTCTTACATTTTTATTTTTTTATTTAGCTATAGCCAAGAAGGCGATCACGTGACACCATTGAAGCGGAATATCACTCGAGAAAACGCGTGAATTTGTGAATTTATTGAAACAATTTTGAGAAGTCGGAGCCTTTTTAACTCAGCTATACATTGCTCATAAGAGGTAACTAAGGTACTTTTAATAAATTTTATTCTAAGTTACAAAGAATTCAATTATACAAAAGTCTATACCAGAACTTAGATACCTTTATTTTGTTACTCCACAGCTTAGGTTTTTCAAAGTGTTCCAGATCAGATCACATTTTGAGGCAAATAAAACTTATTTTGACTTCATGTTATTTACTTAAACTGTACCTTTCTTCTTTCTTTCTTTTTTTTTATAGGAAGTAGGCAAGCGGATATTAGTTCGTTTTTCTGATTTTACAGTGTGATGTGAGCTTGCAATAAAACCAGCAACTTCGGCGTACTTCTGAAAGTAATATACATTTCTAATGCAGCGCACCCAAAACGCCTCTCTTCCTCAGAGATTACACATAGTGCTATATTAAAGTTCGTAATGCCGAACTTAGGGCAATAGAGGCGGGAACCTTGAAGGAAAGCGAAGAGTTAATTATTACGCCGAATGAGAAGTGCTTGATATTTTAAGTTTCCATCGGGCGGCGAGGAGAACGCGCGCGAGGGGAGGGTTGGTGGTACCTACCGCTTACACCAGCGCCGATAACGATCACAGGACCCTGTGCCATGCTCGCAGCGCGACGCTCTCGCTCCTGCCGACGCTCGCCGCAGTCGCAAAACACTCGACGCCCCTCCAACACAGGTTTTCGATAGCAGCCTCTCTAAAGATAGTTCCGTTCGCGCCGCCTGGCGGTGAAACCTTGGCACGCTCGCGCGCGAATCCAGCTGGCCTCGCGACGTGGGAGCGTGAAGTCGGACTGCATCTCTTCGCTGCAGCCTGAAACTCGAAGCGCTCGTTGAATCGTTTGTCCGCGGAACGCCCGCGCGACAAAGCCTCCTTCGATAAAACCAGGAGCACTTAACTTTATCTCTCCTACTTAAACAGGATGATAAGATTCAAAAAAGAAAGAGAGGGAGAACCATGCGGCCATGCACGGATCGTTCTTCTCGGCTCTGTTTTGTCACGCGAGCGACTCCAAGTATGAGGTATTTATATTAACAATTTCAACGAACATCGACAAAAAAAATATCGAGTAGAACACACATCTAACAGAAGAAAAAAAAAGTTATATAATGGTACCATAATGATTTCTCTCAAGGGGTCTACTTGCTGAATATTTAGAATAAATAAGCTCCTAATTAACTTGCATGATAAACGTTTTAATTGTAAACCTGAACGGACAATTCTTAAAAAAAAAATTAACTTCACGGGCAGCATTGAAAAACAGTTAATTTGGAATAAAAGATCGGTTGTGCGTGCTTGGTTTTTGCCCTTTTTTGTTGTGCTACTGATGATGATGATAACGATGATAATGATGATTCTGCAGCCTTTCCCTCTTCAGCGGGCGAACTGGACGAAATTTACTGCCGTAAACTAAACTCTATCTTTCAAAGTTTAGTGTCATCTGGTGGCTGAAAAATCAGTATTACTTCCGATAAAAGAATGGCGGTCATGAAACTATTTCATCGGGCGCCGTCATTTTCACACGTCAATGGCAGATGAGAATCGCTGCTTCGATCGCCTCATAATTATTTTTTCTATCTGTTTCAGTTTCGATAGTATGAACACAATAACTGACCAGTACAAAGCAGGGACCCATAAGCACCTTGACTAAACTTTCCTCGACAAAATGCTTTAGAGCCAAATTCCAAGAGGTTTGTCGAACTACACTTCGACAAAAATACTCACGCAGCCGTTATATCTAATTCGTGCATCGTGTTGTGCTGACGTTTCGAACGATGCATCCTCCGCTTGGTAGAATCCTTAATGCCATACATTGAGGAAATGATAGTGACCAAAATTTTCCAGACTGAATTTCGAAAACTTTCTATTGTGAGAAATGTTCAATCTTGTTGGGAAAAGTTAGCTCCAAGGAACAAACGTGTTCGTAACCTGAAATCATATAAAATATATAAAATAAGTTTTAATATATCCCTTATTTCACATGCCTTCAAATTTAGTTTCCCTTTTTTCCTTCTAGTTATGTTTATGAGAAAGTTCCCACGATTCGGCAACACAGCAGAAATGCACCCAACTTTAACGCACCTGCGTCGTTTATCTATTTCTTATACCCGCATTTTGCCTCCCCGAGCTCTATTCAAATACAAACCATTTTTTTTTCTTTTATGCGCTTGTGCGAAAAGAGGAAACGCCAGTATATCGGAATGCCATGGCAGTGTGTGTAGACCACCCGAAAGGCTTTAAATGTTGCGTACCGAGATTTGACGTTATTCAATCAAACGCCGCAAGCGTGTTCTGTTTCGTCTGATTCAGACACGATAAACGAAAGTCAGCTACGGGATTCTGTAGAAAAAACATCTCCAAGATATCCGTACTTGGAAAGTTGCCGATGCTTGAAGACAAACACCACTGCGAATTTAATGTGCACCCCGGCGAGCTCATCGTTAATCACTTTCGTCTTGGCAGCGTTCCCGACGCAACTTCGAGACGAGTCTTGCTGAGACTCGCGAATAAGAGATAAGTGAGCAGGAACTGTACGCGCTCTCCAAATATCGGTCTCAAAGAGGTCTGCCCAAGATCGCACTTCTCCTCTGCAAAAACCTGCACAATGTCGATATTTTTTTGTTTTGTTTTTTTATCTTACATGCTTTCATTTATTACCATAACTGCCATTAAATGCTAGTCGCCCGGGGCGTTTCGTCACTTAATAGCACTCTTTTCAGCTCTTCTTTCTTGTGTGAGATGACAAAAGGTAGATAGATATGAAGATGAGACGTAGGTGGTTACTTCTGCAGTGTCGATATTCTTTTTGACACTTCAATGGGCGTCAGTCGAACGCTTCGAAACGTGTGTTCCCTACTCTATGTGGAACTGTACTCCGTTTCACCTTAAGATGGACAGCAGCGGACGCTGCGGGACATTCCAGCCAATCCAGCACGGCGAATGTCTCTCGTGACCACGTGCCCCCGGGCCCCGCGCACTGCTGCAGGTACAAGCTGGTGATGCAAAAACACAAACTTAATATTTTTAACGTTCGCGTTTTCTTTTTTTTTTTTTTTCTTCTTCTTTTTTTTTGCATGAGAAGAATATTATTGGTGAATATCATGATAAAAATATCCCTGGCCAAACATAGAGCGGAAGATGCGCGCTCTCAATTTCGAATAGGATCTTCTGTCACGTGGTCGCCAGTTTTAATAAATGGTACTTATATTGGAAATCTCAACTTACTACGCATATCACCAGATGCGACCAAAAACTGTCGCTTGTTGACGTAAGCCGCCACCCACTTCAAAAAAAAAAAAAAAGTTTATCTCCATACATCTAGCCATCCAACCATCCAGCGCGGTCGAAATTTTACATCATTCGGCTACAATAGATAGGGAAGTGTATAAGACAGAACGTGTAAAGAATGTGCCACGACTAACATTAGAGGCGCTAGATTGCGATGTCAAGAAGTGGACGCTGGCGTAGCCGGGGGTCTTGATAAAATCCAGGGGCCAAGCCTTGACAACTATGACAACAACAAAACCGCACGTGCGTTTAAAGGTGGTTAGCATTAAAGTATAGAGAGGGTAATACTTACACATTGCGTACTCACCGCTATGATGAAAAAAGTGAAAGAGAACTTTTCGTGGTGTTTTTTCTTGTTTTTTTAAAGGCAGTTTACAAAAATCAATCATATTTGTGGAATAAATGCTCCATGTATATAGCACAAGCCAAGCAAAATTTTAAACAAAAACAAAAAACTCTCGTCACTTTCTGTTTCATCCCAAAACCTAGAGTACGTAGTGTGAGAATATTTAGTGTAAGAGGAAACAGCATAAAACCCGTAGCGCTGTTTAGCCGTTAATAATCTAATTAAATAGACAGCCTACACCTTTCGATTATTGATAGGGTGACCATATTCATCAAGGCAGAAAACGGGACATCCCAGCCGCGGAGGGGGGGGGGGGGGGGGGGGGGGGGGGGGGCTAGAGGGAGAACAAAAGATTGAAATTGGGAGAACAAATTTAATTAAATAACTGGTCCTATTACAAAACTTTATCATATTACACTGAGCCCTGGAACAGTCACACTCAGAGTTCAGTTCCATGCACCCGTTTGGAAGCTGTTTGTGCCCGGGTAAGACCAGTTCTGAATTTTACTCGCTGGGTAAATATATTAAAGTACCTCGGTAATTTTTGTAAACTATGCTTTTAACGAGTAGGCATAGTTTCGGTTTGCTTTAGCTCGCTTGGTGCCAATTTCAAAACTATGCACTCCTGCGAAAACGGGACATGATTCTTTATTGGGACAAAAAAAACGGGACTGTCCCGGCCAAAACGGGACGTCTAGTCACCCTAATTATAGATTTATAAGGTTATCTATCGTACCATTTGTTTGTTTGCTGCAGCACTTCAGGTCTCTTGACAGAGTGCAAAGTGATGTTGACTAAGATGCAGATTAACTTTTCTTCTTCGCAATAGGCACACATACATTTCGCATAAATCTTGTATGTGCACAACACGTTCAGATCACGGAAGAAGCTATCATATTATTTTTGGTTTAACTGACTCGGTATTTCTTGCATATGCATTCACCTATTCCCAGTCATCAATCGCTCAGATGCAGAATTCTCCCCGGCGGTCTAATTAACTTTCAGATTTTATTAAAGTTAGTGTCTAATTATGACGCTGTCCACCTCATGTATTCAGCTGAGGGTTTCGCCATTTACATTCCAATGTTTCTTTTGCCTTCAGGACTAATTAACCCATTTGTAGATCTGTTCCTTCCTTAGGAAATATCCGATTTGATAGCTAGTTTTTGTTTGTTTGGCCTTCACATTTAAAATAAGAGATACCTTGAAAAACGTTGACCCCTCCTCAGGTCTGAAGAGTTTCTTTAAAGTCACAACAGCATATGCTACCTATTGTAGCTTACCTATGCCAAGGAAATTACTATGATTTGTTTTATTTTCAGCTGCTTAGGAGGCTTATGATTAAAAGTTCACATTCCGCCTCACTTTACACCGCAGTATTTTGCACGAACAAATATTTTGTTTTTCTTACCTTTTGTTCATAAGAAAAAAAAACATTCACAGGTATTTGTCGTGTCCTCCATAACCACACTGCACACAAACCATGACGCCACGATGCACATCATTGCTCCCCGTGAAGTTACGGTGTTCTTACGCGACGTCACAATTCCGCGTGACGTCATGCTGTACATGATGCCACAGTGTCACGTGGCGTCATGTGGAAACAGCGTGGAGATTTCGCCTCGACATTCAGCGAATTGTTTATGATATCACGTGACGTCAATGACATCGTGACATCATGCCACTACTTACACGGAACAGCCCAGGATCCGCCGCAAAATTTCGCCAATAACGGCTGTCACCGTAAAGGGTGGGGGTAGCTCCCCTTACTACTCCGTGATGTCAGGGAAGTAGCGCTAAGGCCTTGTCTTGCTGCACGCGAGGCGTGTGCGGCCTGGTGCAGTTTGTGCTTTCGAAGGTGCAGACGAGAGTAAAGACCGTCACTCCTTTATTTAACCCAGAAAATACAGAGTAACGAACAGAAAGGTTTCTATAAAAATCAACAAGTTCCGTCAACACATGTTACGCCAATGGCCGAATCACAGATCAGAGTAGTTAAACCTAAGCACGTCTCTTTTGGCGAGCAGGAAGCAGCTAAGTACGAGGCCTGGTACTGCCAGCAGGCTCGCCGCAGTCAAGAACGCCGGCACGGACGGCATGTATTTTTCCGCGAACGTGTCCACGAATGGTTGGCTCACGATCAGCTGCAGAGAGAAAGTCATCAGTGTTCCTCCTGCAGGAATGAGTG